ACGGGACCGGGTCCCCGCTGAAGAGGACGTCGGCATCGGTGAAGAGTAGGTGCTCGCACCCTGCGCGCAGCAGGGCGATCATCACGTGCGAGCGCAGGCCCCCAAGCTTGGCGAAGCGCTCGTTCGGCGCGAGCCCGCCCGCCTTGGTCTTCACCCACGTCATCCGCATGTCGGCTGGCGGCACGCCCTCGCCGCCGATGGTCGGCACGCCGCGGCGGACCAGCTCGGCGCGGATCTCGGAATCGACGGCAAACACCGCAAACGACCGGTTCAGCGCGCGCACCGCAGCGACCCAACTCAGAGCCATGTGGAGAGAGTTGTGGTCGGCGATGCACGCGATGAGGGCCCCGTCCGAGTGGCGGCGGGCAGCGTCGCAGACAGCCAGCTGTCGAGCCCCTCCACGCCTTCTTCCGCGCCGGCACTGGCGGCGGCGGGAACCGCGGGGCCGGCCGCCGCGGCGCCGGAGGCATCGGCGGCCTGCTGGACCGTGGAGAGCGCCTCCATGAACTCGCCGTCGAGCATGGGCAGATCGCGGTGGGAGTAGGTCTGGTCGTACCAGCCCATCCACTGCACGAACGCGCCCGGCCGGCAGCACAGCAAGTTGCGGCGCATCGTCGTCCAGATGAAGGAGGTGAAGAGCGCCTTCGCAAAGCCGTCCACGCAGCCAGCGACGTAGAAGTCGACGACCGAGCGGGTCCACACGCCCCCGGGGTCCGCGCCGAAGAAGCAGCGCGCGTCCGCCGCCGAGCAGCTCTTGGTGAAGGAAGAGTGGCCCAGCCGGCCGATGCCGTCCGTGGTCACCTGTGGTCACCAAGAGGTCCCGCGTGGTGAAGGAGTGGCCCACGGACATCAGTCCCGCTCTTGGTGAAGGAGTGGTCACCACGCGGCCGGCGAGCGACGGGTGCGCGGCGGCGAGCGACGGCACGGCTGGCGCGTCCGACAGCACCAGCAGCCCCCACCGCTGCGCCTCGGCGCCCCGAAGCGACTCGCCGAGCCGCGCCGCGCACGAGAGCAGCGCCGTGAGCGTGCCGTCGGGCGTGTGCGCGAGCGAAAAGTTGCCCCGCCGCCCGCCGACGCGGCAGGCTGCAGCATCGGCGACGGTCGGCGCCCGCTGCTTGCCCGGAGACTCCCAGTTAAAGCACGGCCGCCCCTTTGGAGCCTCGGTCTTGCAGTTGCGCAGGAAGCCGTCGAGCTTGCTCCAGTGCTCGAGGACGTGCGGCGGGGCGTTTGTGGGCGAGCCGCTCGCTGGCAGAGCGGACGCTGCCGGGTTGGCCGGCGCTGACGCGGGCTGCTTGGTGAAGGAGGCGTCCGAGTTTCGGAAGGCCCAGTCGGAGTAGCCTGTCCGCACGTGCACCCCCACCACCACGTCATACGCGTCCAGGCGCCGCAGCACTGGCAGGAGCGCCTCCATCAGCACCGGGCGCGGCGTGAGCGCCGCGAAGGCCTCGCACTTGAGCGACATCTCGCGGCTCGAGAAGTCGGGCGCGCCCGAGGCTGGGCAGCGCTGCAGCGGCAGCATATCAGGCGCCCGGAGGTTCTCCCCCTTGTAGGTGAACTCGAGCGCCTCCTGCCGCTCGAGCACCAGCCGGATCCACGGCGCCTGCTGCGCGCGCATCCACTCGAGCAGCCCGCGCGGCTCGTCGAGCCTCACGTCGGAACCGTTGGCGAGGCGGATCGAGCTCACGCTGCATCCCGGGAGTCCCGGCGCTGGCGTCACGCACTTCCCCGAGATCGTGTAAACCTCTTCGTGTACGCCTCTCTCCTGCAGCCGCCGCCTGGTGTCCGCCTCCCGCGTGCCCCAGTGCCAGTCGACGCCGCCGTAGCCCGTGAAGTAGCTGCCCGGGTCGAGGTGGCACGTCCTGTCGCTTGGCGCGCCCGCCTTGCAGTCTTCGTCTCGGCTGATCCGGAGGAACGTGGCTCGCTCGAGGGCGAACCCGAAGCGGAGCAGGCCCAGCCAGCGGACGCCCGAGTTCCCCAGCCCCTCCCAGCGGAAGGCGGAGCCGTCCAGCACCAGCACGCGCTCGAGGTTGGCGTGCAGCGCCGCCTGCCGGGCCATCAGGCGCTGCGTGCACTGGCACTCGGCGTTGAAGGCGGCCATCTGCCGCTGGACCGTGCGCGAGGCCGCAAACTGCTGCTCGATCTCGCTGGTCGTTGGCACCGGGAGAGGAGGCGGTGGCGAGCGTACAGGAGGAGTAGCTTCCTGATGATGGCGGCCCGCACTCGGTAGAGCAGCATCCTGAGCACTCGGCAAGCGGACCTTTGCAGCAGACAGCATTTTGCCGCCACCCGTCGCACGGAAGAAGCCGACAAGCTGGGTGACGCAAGCGCCCAGAGCAAAGGCGAGGACGAGCTCGAAGGTACGCCGTCCCATGAAGGTAGATATCCTTGGCCGTGTTGGTGCTGCTCGCCGTCTCCGCCTCACTTGCCTGGGTGTACTCCTCTTGCTGTCGGCAGGCCTGGTGTACTTGGCGCGCGGGGAAGAAATTGTGGCGAAAAAGGAAAATCCTCATCGCAAACCCTGTCAGCAGTTCACCTACGGGTATGTTCGTAAGAGCTACATACACTAAAAAAAAGTTCAATCGCAAAAGAAAACCTCCGCCGCACGCAAGACGGCCGCACTCGCCTCGGCGCGACCAAAGGAGCACATGTCGGATCCCATCGTTGCGATGGGCATGCCGGTGGCGGGCCCTTCCGTAGTCGCGGCGACAGCGGTCGACGCTGTCGCCGCTGCTCCCGAGCCCGACATGGCCCGGCTGCAGCGGGACGGCTTCCCGCCTGGCTTGGCGTTTGAGATGCACAAGTCGTCGCAAGCCTTCCCGCTGCGCATCTGGGTGGTGGACAACAGTGGCTCGATGAATGCGGGCGGCGGCTCGCGCATCGTCAAGAGCGGTGGCAAGCTCGCCCGCGTCGGCGCCACCCGCTGGCAGGAGCTCGGAGACGCCGTGGTGATGGCCGCCACCGTGAGCGAGACGCTGGGCGCACGGACTGACTTTCAGCTCCTCAACCCCACGCCCGCCGGCCAGACCTTCAGCGTCTGCGCGGGCGGAGGCAGCCACCTGCCCGTCCCCGCGGGCGTGGCTTGCGACGTCCCGAGGCTCAAGCAGGTGATGGGCGACTCTCCGCGCGGCACCACGCCGCTCACCGAGGCGGTCGAGAAGATCCTGGCCAACCTCTCGCCCGCCGCGGACAAGCTGCGAGCGCACGGCCAGCAAGTGGTTGTCGTGCTGGCGACCGACGGCCTGCCCAACGACGCCAGCTCCTTCCTCGCCGCGCTGCAGCGGCTGCAGCGGCTGCCCGTCTGGATGGTGGTGCGGCTGTGCACGGACGAGGACTCCGTCGTCGACTACTGGTCGAACCTCGACCGCTCCCTCGAGGCGCCGCTCGAGGTGAGCTCGACGACTTGGGAAGGGGCGGAGCTGCTGTTGAGGAAAGGGTGACTGATCGATCGATCGGTTGACAGGTGCTCGACGACCTCAAGGGCGAGGCGGAGGAGATCGCGAAGGTGTCTCCCTGGATCACGTGCCGCCCCCCGCCGCACACGCGCGCCAGGCAGCGGGCGCGTCTCTCCACTCCCCCCGCCGTGAGCAGGTACGGCCCGCCGCTGCACGCCGCGCGCGAGTTCGGCTGCCGCAACAAGCTCTTCGACCTGCTCGACGAGACGAGGCTGCTGCCATCGCAGGCCTCTCCTCTCCTCTCCTCTCCTCTCCTCCTCTCCTCCTCTCACCTCCTCCTCTCTCCTCCTCCTCTCTCCTCCTCTCTCCTCTCCTCTCCTCTCCTCCTCTCCGCCTGCAGGCCAAGGACCTCGCCGAGCTGATCCTCGGATGCGGCCCGCTGCCCGAGCCCGAGGCGGACCCGGAGGCCTTCCTCGCCGCTCTGACTCGCGCGCAGGCCGAGGTGCCGGCTGTCTTCCACCCGATCAAGGGGTCCGCCCAGCCATGGTTCAACGTGCAGAAGTTCGGAAAGATGCTCAAGGGAGGAGGGGGGGAGTGCGTCCTCTGCTGACCCGGTGCAGCCCTCGTGTGCCTGGACGAGAGCAGACGTCGCGACGATGCAGACCCTTCCTGGGCCCCGCTGCCAGCCTTTCCGCACTCAGAGGCGGCCCCCGCTGGGTGAGGCGGCGTGGAACTTGTGGCTTCATTTTCGCATGTGGTTTGTGGTGCGCGCGAGGCGGTGTGGGCTGTGGGGCGCGGTGGGTGTCGCGAGCGAGGTCGACGGCCCGCCCGGCTCGGTCAGTCATTTTTAGTCTCCGGGCAAAAACGCCTTATACAAAGGGTGTATGTGCATCTTGCCATTCCTCTATCTATGTTTCACACACACAAGTCATTCTCAAGTTTTGCGACACATGTACGGCCTTACATGAACATGTGTGTCAAAAAAGTCAAACGAGGAGGAACGCCGCGTCACGTGTCCCTATGTCGCTCTCTAGGGGCCTGTTCGAGAGGGAGCGGGTTTTTATGCCAGAGAGCAGACGGTGCGTGCCAGTGTCCCGCGCCCTGCGTCGTTTCTCGTTTGAGCATTGAGGTTAGTCCGTGAGCGCGGGGTGTGCGCGGCGCAAGCGGAGAGTAGTACACTCAGAGATAAGTTTTTTGTTGAAATCTCTCTCTCGCTTTCATGTTTAGAGCGTATTCTCATCGCCAACTCCTGGGACCGCGGGGCGGCGCGCATCACGCACCCCCAAGCAGCACCTATACCTCTCCGCTCTCACTGCACTCTCCGCCGCAAGCGCAAGCCGCCTTGCCCACACACGTGCCCGGCCGCTGGACGGCCAGCGCTCCGCCTGGGCCGTTGCCGCCGCCGCCGCCCCTACGAAGCTACGCCCCTCCCGCCCTCCCCCGCCGCCTCCGGCGACGAGCTCCACCACCACCACCACCACCACCACCACCAATACCGCAACCAATACCCCCCGCGCCGCCGCGTCACGCCGTTCTCGGCCGCTCCTCACCGGCGGCCGGCGGGTGCAGCGCGAGAGGCGGCTCCTCGCAGCGGATGACTGTGCCTGTTCACAGCTGCAGCTGTGAAGAGGCGCTGCTCGCGGCCTCGACCTGCTCGCGGCGGCTGGCTGTGCCGCAGGCGAGGAAGAAGCCGAAGGCGCCTCCCGCCTGCAGGGCGAGGGGTGGTGGGGCGGTGAGGAGAGGTGAGGGGTGGCGGGGCGGCGAGGGGTGGAGGTTCCCCCTCTCTCTTTTTCTCCCGTGCTCTCTCCGCCTGCCCTGCTTCTCCCTTCCTCGGCCCTGCCCGCTGCCTCGCCTCTCCCGCCCTCTTTCTTTCGCTCCTCGCGGTCTCCCCCTCCCCCCGCCCC